ATCCCTTCCTCCCTGCTAAGCCACCCCAATCTTTCTCTTACTTCTACTGGCCAACACCTTCCCATCCACACGTTTACCAAACTAAGTGTAACAATATGATGGATGTAGAATATGGTATAAAAAAATCCTACAAAATAACAATCTACCAACTAACTTTACCCTAAAAGTATTGGTGCTTTACTAGAGTATGGAGGACAGAATTCCCAACCTGCAAAAACAAAAGCAATGCTTTGACCACTACTTTGAATTTTAGATTAGTTGGACCCATAGTATTCATTGATCAAGATTTTGTACCATGGAAGTAGTCAAGAAGCAGCATGAAACTAAGTTACCAGAATACTTGGGCCATTTTTCTTCTGGCTTACCTGTACTAGGTCTTAAAGAGCTTCATAATTATGTATGGCTTCAATCAATTCCTTCTTGCAATAATGGATATTAAAATTAGGTTCATCATAATAAGCAAGGCAAATTTGCAACTGGGGCTTTAATTTAACTTTGAGATATGCCTCAAGTGTACTGAACTGCCCATTAGGTCCACAAATGTGTGAACTTTCTTGTCAGATAAAGTTGACCTTGTACCAAAGAGCTGAACCATAACAGAGCATACACAAGACATAGTCATGCAGGAGAAAAGCTACCGTTTCCAATGGTAGTATCAATAAATACAAGTTCTGTTACTATCATAACATTTTATTAAGAGAAATCGTTCCTGTATCGTTTTCATGAACAATTAAGAGCACAAGATTGTTGTATCTTTGCAGTCACTGAGCTTAAGACCACTACTTCACCATCCAATAGAAACAACTATAATTTTCTATTTTGGTGGATGAAACATAAGGAATTTAAAAAGACTGGTTATTATTTCTATTACAAATAAATAACAGTATTTACAGAATATGGACGTGCAAATAACAAACTCTGCTATCATAATGGCATACAGTTCTATCAATATTAATTACACCGCTATACATAACCTAGAATTATGTACAGAAAGATGATATGGTTGACACATGGTCTGATATTTAAAAATTAGAGTAAGTCCACTACAGGATGTCTGTAAATAAAAAAAAAAACTGTCCACAACTCCAGTAACATAGTAAATATAAAAAATACAACCAAAGACAACTGGTTGAGGTAAGTCAAAACTGTCTTATCTAAGCTAATTAAACTTTGTGTTGTTACTACACTGTGTACAAATATTGCCTCATAAAATGTGAAAAAATGGATCAGAGTACCCATATCCACACTCCAATTTGGATTCACATCCAAAAATAAGTCTCATTCAAATTCAGATGTTTATGGTTAGAGGACATACTTTGTCTTTTAGTAAATGAATTGTATACTGGAAAGTTCCATGTACTGTTGCAAAATCACGTTTGGTGCTTTATAATCAACTAAACAAGAATATTTACATGGATTAAATAAATGTCTACACGATCAGATGGAAATGCTGTTCAACTGATGATAGATTATACCTGCTGGCTTCAATCCCTTAACAGTCCTGTGGGATTTGTAGTGGAAAATTAGGCACATCCTATCCAGAGTAATTTAGTTTTTCCCAGCTAAACATATTTCCACCAACTACTGTCTCACCTTGGTTAGATTTATATTAAAGAGTTCTTAGAGAGATGTGAAGATTAAAACCATTTTCATGTTGTCAGCATATCAGAAACAGGCTATGGGAATTACATAATTTTGATTAAGTCTTATTTAACCCATTCACTGCTGGCCTAAGAGCTGAAATGTTTTATGTTGTGCTATGTGACAGAAAAAAGGAACAATCCACCTTTCACAGACATCCAGCAGCTACCATGGAAACTAAATCAGTTTCACTGACAAAATAAAATGGAACTTGAATATGCTGAACCCACTTTCATACAATAAACAGCTTGTGCTACAAGAGTTACAATAACAAAACCAGCTGAATGGTATTGTGACAGGATCCACCTAGAGAAACATGATATGACCACATTATCTGAATTACTCCATTGAAAATAAAATATTTCATAGCTGTATAGTGACTAGAAGAACCTTGTGAACTTTTATATGTAAAATATAATTTAAAAAACCATTCAGTGTTGAGGGCTATTTCATAAATATTAGTTACTCAGTTACTTAGCTTGGAGTGCCACATACATGTACAATTTACAAGTTGCAGACCCTCCTTCAACATTCGAAAGAGGTTCAGTCCCCCAGAGAGATTAACTGTCATGTATAAACATCTAGTTAGGTCAAGTCATAGTTGATGGAGGTATAGGTGTTAGTACATATCAGCTGAGAAAAACAGAGAAATGTGTTATCCACTTCTTGTTAAAATGTTGGTAAGATACATGTAATAGTTCAGTGGCACCCTGCATTAAAAATATTGTGCATAGGATAAATAACAAATGACATTCAGTTTCACCTTGTCAGATGACTCAGACTTCAACTTCTTGACAGCCATTGCAAATTCATTCAATGTCTCTTCAGGGAAATAACTTTACAAATGAGTTACACTGCATATTAAATACAGATCCTGAATTTGAAAGATGGAAGAAGTCAGTATAGAGTTAAATTCTTTTTGAACAAATATGTTGGTATAAAAAGTTTATCTTCATTCTGATGTGTATTTACATAATGATTAGTTACTTTACAGTGCTTTTACACTCTCCTTTGGACAGATAGAATGTTATTAAAACAACTAGTGACCTAGTGCAGACCTGCACAACATGCGGCTCCCAGAAAGATTTTTTCTGGCCCAGGGGTGATTGGCTCAATTGTATACAGGTCCCTGAAAAATCATCTTTCAAAATGAATCAAGTACAATAAAACCTAACATTCTTGAACGTTACCAATCCTATCATAAAAGTTTGTACTTTCTAATAACCAAAGTATTAATAAAAACTTGTTAGTTACTGAATTCATGCTCTTATAAATTTAAATAGTAATTAATGCAATAATTAATAAAACACATTCGTGTATTTATTTACATACAATTAATACAAAATCTTCAAATACTTTTGACTAATGTAATTATTATACAAAAAATAAAAGACTGCAGCCCAAAGCACTTACATAGTTTACATTTTGGCCCAATTATACTTTCAAGTTGTGCAGGCCTGACCTAGTGTTTAGTGCTGAATGCTAGATATATAAAGAGAGATCAATTTTGCTCCAAGAATGTTGGCAATGTCCTGGACCTACAGATCATCTTGCATTAAGGTCATTACTTATATAAAGTCAAATGGTAACAAAACATACTACTTACCCTTTAAAGAACAGTGGCAACTGGAAGTACTACATCCTTTAACAATCAGTACCTTAGCATTTTACCCACAGTTTCCATAAATCATTAATTAACTAATGTTTAAATGGAGAAGCACTGTTTTTTCTTTGAAACACAGACTGAAGTTTTAAATATTATTTAGATGAGCTTCTGTTTGACCACACCACTACATCAAACTCTTGCTTTTGATATCTAGTTATTATACGACATCCTTATGAAGAGAGAATATATCTCAGACTGCAACTTACTTATGACACTTTATATAGCAAAAGGACTGCATGGTATATTAACACAAATTAGCTGAGAAAATTTCTGGAGGAAAAATTAGTCTAATTCAAAAATACAAATTCCTTTCTGATTATTTCAGATTAATTTCAAAAGTAAAAACAGCTTTTAAGAGCAAAACATGTGTGCACATTCATGACAAAGGTTTGGAGATAGCAGCTGAGTTAATACATAACAAAAAATCTTTTGTTAACAATTTTTTATCTGGATAATACCATGGCTATTACACAAGTTTGTTTTATACAAATCTGAAGCATCACTGTGCTTCAGAACATGAAATTTTTAATGATGGAAGAAACGCGTCTACAGATTTTTCATGATAACACTTTTGTGTTATGTTAAAACAAACCACATTTCAAGGATACAAACATTTAGAGTATACTTTCCCAAATACTGAAAATGGCCTTTCTATTATGATGCATTCTGATCTACTTTCTTGTCCCTAGATATTTCCCTCTTATTATATGAGTGCAGTCACTGAGAAGAAGTGGTGGGGAGAATTTTGCAAACATTTCAAATAAATATTCAGTGGATACAACTATTTGTTTGAAGATTTCTGTCTTCTGGGTTGTGGCGCTGTGTAGTCTGGTCAATGTTTACCAACGTTTCAGAGGTTATATTGCCTCCGTCATCAGGGCGATGAATATATCGCCCTGATGATGGAGGCAGTATGACCTTTGAAACATTGGTAAACATTGACCAGACTACACAGCGCAACCCAGAAGACAGAAATCTTCATACTCACCACTGTGAAAATCTCAAATCCTATATAGAAAGTAATAAGTTGGTAGAATGATTATATGGGGGACTGAGAATGCAATGGATGATGGTAAAGATGATGCACATGGGTAATGACAAACTGAGAATCCTGTCACACAATGCACTACCTGTAATAGGACGGCTTCCTTATGGCCTATAATTTCATCTCAATGAAAATCAGGGCTGAGTGGACCCTTTATACATGCTACATAAATAACACCAATGTTTTAAAAAAGGATGAATAAAATTCATATCAAAAAGTTGTGTGCACAAAGGGTGAGAGCACCACATGGAATTCTGATGTACGTGGATCAAAGGAATGGGAGACGAGTGAAATGTAACACAGACCTACAAATTACTTCCTGCTCAGTTATGTACAATTTCAGTTTACACCTATAGTAACTATCTACCAGATATGTGATACATGTACTAATAACCCCACAGTCATCTATTCACCCCAGTCATTCAGAATTATAAACTTTCTTCATTTAAAAAGGATGCACTTATACAATGTATATAAACTCACTTGCTTTGATGTACACAAGCATTACAGACTTTAAAGGTTTATATTTTTTAGGAAAGGCGGGTATGCCTTCCACGTGGCTCATATACACCATATCAAGGTGACAAGAATAATTATTCACATAGTTTAGAATAATTTGTGCATTTGGCAACTGGAGCTGAGAGTGACTAGATGTTAAACCTTTATTTGCCATGGTCCAGCTGACAGTACATCGCAGTAGAATACCATTAAACACCAGAACTGACAGCCCTACAATATGGGGATTTAAATTCCATATTCCTGTACAATAAATATTAACAAACCATTATGACCAAACTGGTTCTGGAAGATGGGCAAATCCTGGTACATGGAACTTTTTCCCAAAAATTCTGGAACTCCAATCTACCACAATCTTCCAGATATCTACCCTTCACATACCATATAATTAATTAACCAGACACTATATACAATGATAATTTGCATGGATACTAATAAACAATGTTTTTGATTTACACTTTACATTACAACTTTTCTATTACAGTCTTCTTCACTCTTCAACATCATCCAAAACTGAAGTTAGCATGGAATAATACATGCTTTGTATACATATCTACATGGAGTTAACTTTAATTACCTTGAAAACGTGAAGGAAAAGGAAAATACAAAATATTCGTCTTATTAGAGGCTGCAACTTCTTTTCTGAGATATCTCTCAACCTATTCTGTTTGTATTTAAATACTATGCATGTAGAGCTGTACCCATATATACAGCAGTATCTTGCTAACTGCAGAATTTATGCCCCGAAGGACACTGGTTGGCAACATAAAGGCCAAAAGGGAAATTTCATGAATAGTTAAATCGCTAATGTCTTAACACTCATCAAAGCCCAATACAACTGCATATTTAAAACAAATTAGACAAAAAAATATTAAAAAGTAACACAAAATACATACTTCACACAACGTAATGGCAATTTGGAAGCAGTCATGGATCTCTTAAGTGGGAAATTTAATAACTTTCCCATATACACAAATTAAAAACAGTGGATGCTTGAAGTCTGAGGCTGAAGAAACCGTCTGCAGTTAGCAAATATACTGATTCTGCAAACATGTTGCGCAATTTAAAGCAATATTCAATTTAAAGATGACTGTCTTCTGAAATGCAGTGCCATGCAGTCTGGCAGAAGATCAGTGACACTTCAGAGGTGCTTGCTGCCTCCACCATCAAGTCAATAGGACACATCATTACATCAGCATCTTCAATATATACCATTATTTATTTCTTCGTATGTTTCATTATATTTAGACTTAATAATGTATAATGGAGATACCTAAGTTCATCCTTGGGCCTCTCAGAGTAGAGGTCATGCGAGTAGTAGTGGCACCTAAATGCGTGATGTGTAAGCTGAGAAGAGGGGAGTTCAGTAGTAGTGAGGGTCACACAGCCTCAGCTGCGGTGACACACAGATCTAAACATGGCTAGAGCCACAAACCAACTGAAGCTGACTCCCCTCTAGCGCTTGCTTCGGACAGGTCCATCTCATACGACAAAAATCAGTCCTTTGTGCAAGTGCCGACACTTCTCGCTTGGCCTCTACTTGCCACATCAATAACTCATTCTATAAAAGACAGGCTCAAGTTGAGAGGGGTGTGGTCATCAAAGGCTTGGAGATCAACACATGCCCTCATGATGGAGGCATCAAGCACCTCTAAAATATTGGTAAACTGCTATCAGACTACATGGTGCATCATCCCAGTAGATAGTCAACTTCACACTTGCCACCATGGGAACCTGAAATCCCAAACAATATTAAGTTTGTTTCAACATTAGCAAGAACTTCTAAAATATAAAATTTCACCAACAGCAGAATAACCACTCTGAGTTTAAATATAATATTTAGGGAGTGAGATGAGATCACGATGAAGATGAAACAAAATAACTTCAGTTTAAAATCTGAGGTGTCCTTAAGGCAATGTCCTATGTAAGCGATAACAAGCGAGCTACCCGAGCTCCATAAGCAGCATGGGGTGTCATATGAAGCGGGGAATCGCTTGTTGTGTCCTGCGTGAGACACCCCAATAGAAGCACACAGCCTTCCTGCGCATGCACCTTACTGGCCAGCACAGCGACTCGCGTGAAAATATCAAAATATTTGATCTCAGACTTTGGCCGCTTCCCTCTCCTGACCTCTTCGCTGTAACCTAGGTCAGCGCCACACAAACAGCCAGTTTGATATTTCCGCTTCACCCACGCAACTCGCACCGCTCGCATTTAATCGCTCACGTAGGACACCGAGTAAGAGTATTACCATGACACTGGACCAATTCACTATGCCCTTAAAACAAGTGAAGCATCTGATCTTACAAAGCAATAGGAAACCTTTGAAGTGAAGCCCCACTTAGGACAGACTTCAATTAATTCATATGGCACAGATCCAGTTCCATGGAACAATTAGTATATACCAGAGTGTGAAATATACACACAGGATAATAATGTTAAAGAAATCCAGGACTGAATGTAGTATACATTTACTTACAAATGCTTCTCAAACGTTATTGGCATTTTGACAGGCGATTGAGGCTGTTGTGTGTTATGACACATTGGTCGTGCCTAAATCAGAAAAATGAACATAACAGCCATTTTCCAGTATCTATACATCACTTTCCCACACACGTTCCATGTTACACTAAATAAATTCATTAATTGGCCAGCCACAGGTGACAAACTATTCAGAAATTATGAGTCACTGTTGTAATAATGGGATGCTGTCATTCTGTCCAACCTTTAGATCACAACATATCAGAAACAATATATTTCTAACCTTGGGTGAAATTTAGGGAAGTGCCTAAACAAACTGGGTCTGTTAAAGTAGCCTTATGGTCACTGGATAACACAAGCCAATCAACTGAAACTATATGAGCCACTATGACAACATTTTGTCTGTGGGAGATAACAAGAAAATTTACAACTGTTGAAATATGCATGAACAAATTCTATTAGTTGCAGGTCTTCATGTATATCTAATGACAATGAAAGCACTGAAATTATGTAGGATTTGAGGTTTTCTGAAGAAGACAGCCATCTACCGAAATTAAGTAGTGAATGAAAGATTTAGGATAATGAAACTAAAGTAAATATGGAGGGGATGTAATGGCCTTTATTAAAATCGTATCATTTGTCTAGCACCACTGGGTGTGGCTGTCGTGGGGGTGAGGGCAGAAATAAAATGGTGAAAACCTGCATTACTTGGCTGTTCTTCGCCATTATGAGGCAATACCCTGCTTCAGTTGATTATGTAACACTGCTATAACAACTTCCAAGGTTCTATTGTGTAAAATGCCACGTAACAGGACAATTCTAAATTATGAAGTCAGAGGAATATTGAAAAAAGTAGTAATGGCCTCATACTTTCATGGACAATAATGAAAATATTATGAAATCTGCCAAGAGAGCTGATTTCTGTCCAGGACTTATAGCAGGTACCTCGAGGAGTCATATATGTTACCACTGTGCCAATTTACTCATACCTGTCTGTATACCACAAATGTGTATAATAACCTCTTCTGCTCTCAGTATGTTTGATATTTACCACAGTTAAGGCTTTCCACCAATATAAATTAATTAAAAGATACCACAAAGGTAACAAATAAACGGAGGCACCACTCCATTGAAAAAACAAGCCGACTGAAGATATACGGCCAAACAATGCTAAAAGGATCATTTTAATAGGCTGAAGAGCTGTAAAATGATGAAAGATGGCATCCTATTTAACTTCCTCAACTGGTAATATCAAGGGTGGGATAATATGGGTAGAATCTCATCTAAACCTGATGACAATTTTTGGGAAATATTTCCACAAAGCACATAATTTCAATTAAAATATCCACTATTAATGACGGCAGGTGCTGTTTAAACAAGTATACACCCCACCCCCCGAGCGCTAATGATCGCCCTCAATATCTTAACTGTCTTTTGTCCAACGGTTTCGTACAATTCATGTAAAACCTTAAACACATTAGAATGTTTGAGGAATCAAAATAAGTATTAATTTTCATAAATATCTGATAGAATGGTTTGTTCACCTAATCCAAAATTTCTGTGTGTGTTTCCTTAGGCAAGATTACTTGACCCATGGGTATAAACTAGCACTGAAAGACCCTCTGGTGAAAGTATACAATGATCTCATTTTACTATCATATTGCTAAAATTTGCTCTGAATTATGGAACAGTTTCCTCCCAATGCAGGAGCCAAGTTAGATGAACACCTCAAGAACCAAGTCAATGGAAAGTAGCAACTTTGTGTTAAGCAACATCCTTGTAACACATCTCACATGCTCTGAGACACTGATATCATCATTGAAATAGATGAAAGATTGACAGTTTATCCACTGGAGCAGTATGCAATTAGAAATCTGACAAACATTGGGATAGTATGCAAAATATGTTTCTGTATCTCTCAAACCTTCTCAAAATTGAACTCATAGCTAAAAAATAGTTTTCTTTCTTTTGTTGCTTCTCTCTGACTCCATGTTAAGTCGGTCTTTGTCACTATCAGATGGTGCAGCCTTACAATGCAGATGAAGAAGTCCACTGGATATGAAGGCTAGTCCTGAATATGTTGGATAAGCAGTCATACGCAGCTGACAATGGGTAGGCCTGGTTGTCAGTTGGTCTAACCCCCCCACCACAAACAACCAGCATATTATAGAAAGTTATAAGTTCAGTGTCAAGATCTTGTGAAGAATGTTTAAACAGCGTAGGATGCAACATCTGATATGGGTTTGAATGCAACACATAAAAAAAAGATAAGTGTCTTCTGGGTTGTGGTGCGACGTAGTGTCGTAGAAATTTACCATCCCTGTGAGAATCTAAATTCCTACATACAAACAAATCTAAGATGCCTCCAGCAAATGGCACTGAATTTTAACATTGTTTCATTCATTGAACTCCTAATGGCATTACAAAACATAACAATATATCTTGTCAGGAGACTTTTCACCATGTTTTCCTTCTTTCTTTTGATATTTTTCCAAATATGGAAGAAATTCTACCAGAGCTCATTCTTTTGATATTTTCATCCACAGCTCTGTTATCCGTAAAATGTTATTTTTATGACCTCATAAAACACATACTCATTCCCATACTAATCTCATCTCAGTAATTCACGTAGCCCATTTTTCAGTGTCACACATTATCATCCCAGAAAGTGATTTAAAAATACAAGCGTCCACATGTCTCTGCTGAGCCCACAAAGTGAATGTAACTAATAGTATTTACACTTATATGTATTCATGGTTTGTAATGGTAATTCAATACTCTCAATGTGGCAATAAAAGGACTGTGTAAGTGGAATTTGGACACTTGCCAGATACCTAACTCTCAGCTATGTAACTGCAACTGTTTCCTGTAATTCTAACAACACTTGTAAACGGTCACCTCTCTATGTGACATATTACTAATGGTTCATCAAGCCTTTAGCATGGCAGTTCTTGTACAAAAAATAAAATAAATTATAAAACACAAATTCTTATCGAAGTCTATTAAAAAATCATTCTACGAAATTATATTACTCCTTAAAAAATCCATATAATTTGGGTACAGCCATAACTGTATTTACATTTGATGTATCTTTCAGATGACAAAAATAACATGTAACAGTATTAGAAAGAGCAGCATTTATCTCACTTAAACATGAAAACAATGGCACAATGCATAGTGCCAAAACTTAGTGCTGAACCACAAGGGCAGGGCTCCTGCAGAGTAAGAGTGATTGGGAGCGATAAGCTGACGGACAATCCAGTGTGGCAACTTCCTCACTCAAGTAAAAAAGGTTGAAGACTGCTGTCTTCTGGGTTGTTGCGCCATGTAGTCCGGTAGAAGTTTGCTGCCTCTGAAACGTCAGTAAACTTCTACCAGACTACATGGCACAATAACCCAGCAGATAGCAATCTTCAGACTCACCGCCGTGAAAACCTCAAATACTACACAATGAAGCTGAGATATAAAGCAGCCTCAACATTTTTCATCGCTAGCTAAAACTTAACATTATCATCCAGTTCATGCACGTGTATCAGATGGTTCAGCACTAAGTTGTCATGCTATAACATCACAATATTTATAATATTCAAAACAACAACTTATTGAGTTAAAACAGAGACTGCAAAAAGTGTCATATGCATGTGAGCTTTGAGGTTCTAATGGCAGTGAAGGTGATGTTTGTCTTCTGGGTTTTCATGCAGTGTGGACTTCAACCCTGAAGATGGAAACAGTATGTTCCTCCATAACACTGGTATCTACCTATAAGCCGAAACAGAGTCACAACCCAGAAGACAAGCATCATCACGAAATGACAATATCAAAATGAAGCATCATACAAGACCATTTATGGGCGTTCAAACTGCGAACACATATAAAATGAGAGGCCTTACTGTGACAATTTGGTAGCTGGATAAGTTATGCCCTGCCACTTATCGACAAAATATTCCAATGCAATGTGACCACCAAGATCATACACATAAAACCAATGAACAGGTGAGTTTCTTATCGCATTGGGTTGGCAGTGTTGGTAGTGGCACTGTTGTGGAGAGTATGAGCATCACTCGTTTCACCTGGACTGGAGCTTGACGTAGTGCAACCGCCACCATTTGCAAAAGCATTCCCACTACCGGTTAGTGTGTGATGGCGCTGGCTTGAGTTACTCAGGGTGTTGTTGCAAGATGACTGGGAGGTGGGGTAGTTGGGTTTGGCATATGCTGGGGTATCATCTGTGTGCAGGAAACACAACCATGTGATGTGTTACTGAATACATCTACAACTGAATAATGAGTCCCATGGGACTGGTCCTATTTTGTAAAATCCAATCTTAAGGGAAACCTATAAACAGAACACTGTCCTATTTCTTATGGCACATTACACCTGATTTCTTTTAGAGGAAAGGTTTTCAATACTGGGAAACATTTGTAAGTGCTGCTACAAATGCAAATATCAATGGTGACCAACCATACTTCATAGCGTGATCTGTGGTAATTTTAAAAAAATCTAAACGTATTAATGTTAAAAATATTATATCCAAAAAAAATTAAAAATTTTACTACTAAGAAGTTCAAATAAATGCTGCACATTTACACACACAAATTCTGAAACATTCCCACACTGACTACGCATAAAAAAACATTCACAAAAGGGACTTTGTGTGTTGGTAGTTCTTGTTAGATCAGAATTTTACTGTAGGTGAGGAAATGTTTACTATTATATGTGTGCAAAACTGTGCAGTTACCTAATTCTGCAGAGACTCTTGTTCTTCACTCATGACAAATATCTTAACATTATTCTCTTTCTTAAAAAATGTTGTAGCCAACTATGTTTACAGCTTAAAAAAGAAAAGTCACTGAAGAAAACAATGTAATACAGCAGATCTGATTTTAAAAAATGCAATATTACCAGGCACCACAAATCAAAACATACCTCATAGTTCGTTAGCATATAAGGTCAATTAAGGAGAGACAAAACAGTTGAGCTTCAAAAAAACATTCCTGAACATCAAAAAATATCTCAGTCAAATTACAATCAGACACTGCAATGCATGCTAGTTATATGTTTTATGAAATTTCAGTAAAACAAATTTTAAGTGATACGGAAATAATACAAGAATGCTCGAAGCCAGATGCAGATGTTGCATCCACATATAAAGAACATTTATATTTTTTTCTTGTTTTAATCATTACATTAATATTTGTATTATCTGAAACCAACAATTTATTAAATAAAGTGTAAATCATATAGTTATCATATCACTTAAAGCTTGTATAGGATTTTGAGCTCTGTAAATTGGTCCCAATGCAAAAAAGGTACACAGCAGTACATGAATCCACTAGTTTTATAGAGTTAGACCTTATTTTGTGGTTAATTTCATGACACTGTCAGTAGGTCAGATTACAAAGCAGTATATAATAGGATGACTGAAAATTAAGAAACTGGAAATTCTGTAGGAGGAGGCAGTTACGATGCATTACAAGTACCCCTTTTTACAAGTTAAAGAACCTATACAGAATTCTTGCCTGGAGATTTTCCATCTGAAACAAATGCTGTGCATCCACTCAATCCTAGCCAATTACTTATTGACTCATTTATCAATCCAGCCCTCCTGTTTATGATACACACACAGATGCATTCCATGCACTACATCATATTTTCACAGGATGGTTAATCATACCTCTACGTGTGTGATGGAGGGAGGTAGGTTCTCCCCTCTGGTGCTGCACTCTATGAGGAGGCCTGGCATGAGGTGGCCTTGCGCAGCTGTAGTTTGAGTCTGTGCTGTAGGAAGGTGACACTGGTCGGCCACAACTTGCTGACATATTTCCACTATTCTGTTGGTGATATGGCCGCCGCACATGTCGAGGATTGTTTCCCATGTGTGAGCAATTCTGCTACATCAATCACAAAGAGAGAAAGGTTTCACACAACATAAACATAATACCTCATTGCAAGCCCCAAGATTATATCTGTACACTTTATATGAATGTGGGATGCTCTTGGCTGCAGGAAAATTATCTAGATACTCCTAAACGAAAGGCCAATTAGTTTTCATCATAGTGCCTACACAGTACCAAATATTGAGGTTAAGTAAGATAACACTAAAGCGAAGCTGTCCCAGACTACTAACCTGTGCGTGTTGTGCCATCACTTCCGCTGTGTCAGCATAGAGGCAACTTGATTCACTACAGGAGCAACATGTGTCACTAGCATCCCCACTTGAACAACTGGCATGATCGTCATCCCAGGATCCTGCAGTTGTTGAGCCTTCCCCACCACCGGTACCACCACCAGGACTACGCCACTGATGTTCACAGTCACTGTTGGAGTCAGGAGCATCCCATTCGCCATTTGGACCTGTAATATACAAACTTCAAACTTTGCATCTCGTCATTAAGATATCTCATTTATCCCTTTCCTAGCTGGCAGTGAAGTATTAGAGATGCAATGCAATTACAAGATAATCACCCACTAGATATCAGGCTAAAATCATTACTTTCAAACTCTTTTGACACTATTTTATTTGTAGTGTTCTGTCTGACGACAGGTCCATATATTATGAACAGGATCCTTCCAACCTCTTCAGGTTGTCAGGGACCTGCTCATACATATATACATTCTTGGCAGAGATGATCAGAAGTGGTTTGCCATTGCCTTCTTCTGTGTGTGAGTGGAGTAATTGTTGGGATGCCACGGAGAAACCGGGGAAGCCCCCGGAGGAAAACTCCGTGATGCCTAGACCACGGCCTTGCCCAACACAAGTTATAAATTTGAGCACCACCGGGAATTGAACCCGGGACCCCAGGCTTACAAGGCTAGTGTTCTGACCGCTAGACCACCGTGACGGTCTTTTGACACTATAGCCTCAAATTTCCGCAAGTCATATTCACCCAAATCCAAGGGCACTCCTTGCAGATGTAGCCTGGCAGCTAATGATTCACCTGCCAGGCTTGGAAGTGATGACTGGATCCCTCGATCAATTGCACTGTGACCTACACGTGCCAACTCACCTGCAAAGAAACACAGTGACTCAATAAAATGTCATAAGACAAGATGGGCAATACATAATAAAACAACGGATATTCTGTTACAGTTAGTCTGAATGATTTAGTAACAATTCTGGTGTTTCTATGCAAGATCTTTTCTTCTTGCATTCAGATCAGCTTTTAGTTTGTGTAATATGCATCTTGAAGCAATTTCCTTGCTTACATATTACCTTGAAGCCATTAAAAGTAGCAATTAGCAGATGATAAAAGACAAGTTCACAAAGTTGTCAATTTAAATAGCCTCTGGACAGCATTTTCACATTGCTTATCTCTCCAACAAAAACACTTGAAATATCAATGCACTGAAATAATATATTTTAAGAAAAGTGTCTGAAATTATTTGACATTTTTATTTACATAGTTACAAAAATTAACTGTGATCTTCCTCAAAATAGTTCCCTTTGGAGTTGACATACAGCTGCATACAATGCTGCCACTTTTGGAAGCAGTGCTGTACATCACTTTTGGTAAGACAGTTCAGCAACTGTCATTTTTGCCCTCACCGCTTCTACCATCTCTAAATTGATCCTTCTGAGCACGAATTTGATCTTGGGGAAGACAATGAAGTCACAGGGAGCCAGGTCTTGTAAACAAGATGTGTGGTAAAAAACAGTAATGTTCTTACTGGTCAAATACTGCTTCACAGACAAAGCTGTGTGGGCTGACGCTTTATCCTGGTGCGACAAACCACCCAATTTTCCACAACTCTGGCCATTTTCTTCTCGTCGTTCGCGCAATTTTGTCAAGATTTCGATCTAATATTGCTGATTTACCGCCTGGCCAATGAGAACCCACTCTGTCATCGCAACACCCTTGATATAAAAGAAACTTGATGGGAGTGAACAGCCCAGGTGCTCATCATCTTCCACGCTTTTGCTGCCTTCCAAAATCGATTGTGTCATTCGAACACACATGACAACAATCTTTCCTATATGCCTCAGTCAATAACTGAAAAGTTTCTGTCGCAGATTTTTCAAGTTTAACGAAAAACTTATTGTTAACACGCTGTTCCAATTTACAATCTGACATTTTCTGACCGAGTGTAAAAACATTTCTGTACAGAAACACACGTCCACTGCTAATGAGTGAAGCAATCAATTTGAAACTTGCACCACTGGTAGAGGATAGATCAAGGTCAAATATGGTACGTTTATTTCACCCACAATATTACTGGTTGCCTAGTTACACCATCAGTCTCGTTATTTTTGTGTCAGACCTTACAGACATAAACTTATTTGGTTTGGAAAACTTTTAATTAGTTTTGTTTCTGCAGAATTCTAACCAGACAGAAATACAAGACATTACCTGGCATCTGTAACTGTGATGGACAGTTCTGTTGGTACTCATTGCCATCAAAGTTATGCTGGCAACCCTGCTGCCCTTGTCGCTGTTGCTGTGCAGTATATGGGTGATACAGGTTTGAGTGTACACTGTGATTGCTACTCCCTCCATTTGAGTTGGCACCACTGCCAAATCCTAGAGGAAAACTCGGTACCTGAAAAACAATAACATGAAATCTTCTTTACCTGTATAAAAGCACCACTTTCTTAATGTCTATCAATGTGGCATATGTCTTGTTCCAGTGTCCGAGATACATTTAATACAGACGACACTCTGAGAGTTAACATATTTCATTCTCAAGTGATTTGTTACTGTATCTGCAGTTCTTCTGTTTCTTCTGGCAGCAAACAATACTGAACCCAGAAACCATGGATAGCATAACAGAGTTTCATCAACCCAACAACAAAATTACACGATTCAGTGAGTTCAATGTCCAATTGAATTATAATTGAAAAAATTACATTCAATAGCACAAAATTAGAGTAGACCCAACTGTTTAAATGTCATGTACACTGACTATATATCTCAATCAGATGAATGAGAGCTAGTGTGATTAGTGCAGTAGAAAATTTCGAAGTCTGAAGGTAAAATTGTTCATTTGGACTTTGCCCATTGTCTAAATTATAAAATAATGTTTCAGAAGCCAGATTAAGCTTCTGAAACAGATTCAGTTTTTTATTATTTTATGATTTGGATGTTGGACAAAGTCCAAAAGAACATTTTGCATGATGCAAAGTGGTCATGTCTATTTGAAAGAAATTTTGTGACACTTCCATACAGGGCCTTAAAACAAACAAACAAACAAACAAAAATCCAGTCAGGATAAACTGACTTCATGGCCTAGATCAATCCAAGAATGAATAAAAAAATTGGGACCTGAAACACAAAATTATGGTAGAAAACCTCATCGGAAAGACATCTCATGGTAACTATATACTATTAAATTATTAAAATTATATGTACATAGCTAACCGGGGGAGGATGTTGCTGTGGTGGTAGCAGGGCATAGCGGCCGTCACCATAATTGTTGTAAAGTGCGGCCTCACCACTAACACCAGCCCCTGGTGCCCAACCAGTCGAATAGCCATTACTGCTTCCACAGCTGCTGCCTCCTCGTACTGGAGGAAGAGGGGGTGTGGGTCCTGCAATATAACAGCAACAACCCCTTTACAAATAATTTCACCTACTACACCTAGACTAATTCCTACACAATCAATTAATATAAGATTTACCTCTTTGTACTACTATATAATCACTATTGTTGTTAAGAGAAATTCTTTTTTCTATAAAGCTTCAGCTTCTAACTTTACATGTTCACATACAAGGACATGTCGTTCTGTTACGGAATTTATGCACAGATTTATCTTCACTTCTCCTGTTTGAAATAAATGCATTTATCCTTCCTTTTAATGTGTAAAAGATGACCTTTTAAGCCTGAAAAAAGTCCCTCATACTAGTCACCTTCAAAAAAGCATAAAATATAAAACTTAAATACTAAAATTCTGCTCAAAGTGTAAATCCCACAAAAATTATTTCTAATTGAGCTTGTTTGTTATACATAATTAACATAAAATAATATGTGGTGGGATGGAATGATCACAATTATCATAACTGCAAGGCTGTCAGATGAAATTATTGAACAACAAATTCAATGGATGGTACAGAAAATATGTCGTGGCAAGATAAGAGCGATTTTGATTCACATACGCCTTCATATGACGATCCACTTAGAAATAGAGCTCAGGATGAACTTCAAATGTCAGATGCAGATGAGAATATTGCAGAATTTGAATGCATATTAGTTTAATAAAGATTTTTACAAGCATATTATCAGTAAATACAGCCCAAAATTTTTAATTAAAATTTAAATTTGATGTCACCTTATGCACCAAATTGTCTTTTATGCCAGATATACAGTATATATACATAACCTAGGGATGGTAAGTCAAAACCTAGTGTATATCTAGCACTCGAGAAGCAATAACTAATTGGCTTTAAACACAAGTATATATTTAACCGAGGCTGAAGAGTGAAAAAAGAAAAGAAAAAAATATTTTCATGCTTATGAATGTTGGACACATCAATGAAATAAAGGCATAAGTGAATGAAATTTTTATTACCCTTACTGAAATTTATCTACAAAGTACCAAGCTCCAAATTGTGTTACTTGCCAACTGGTAGAGAATATATTGGTAATAACATTTTTACCACTAACACAAATGAAAATTACAGAAGTTAACAATGAATTTATTTTAATTTATTAACTCATCCCTCTTAATGCTGCTGGTTCATGTTGTTGACCTCCTGTAATCATGCACAGATTCTCAGAGTCAAAGAAGTTGGCCAGATGTTTGTAGCATATCACTGTGGCCAACACATGGAGTGCCACGCATAGACCTTATGGTTAATGCCAATGCTTTCAAATATTGGCAGAGAATATCTTCACAAAACCCAGCTTTTATTAGTGGTTGTAAACATGCCCCTGTGCTACAGAAATTTCTGTTGCAGGAATAACTAATATACTAAAGTATTTTCTGTGGTGTTCTTTAATAATTTGTATTCAATTTGTTCATAACTGATTGATCTTTGGTCTTAAGGCACGAGATTTAAAATGTAAACATTAAAAAACTTAAAGAATTGCATAATTGTTACACTGCCTTTCAGCAGTTTGTATACAAAATACAGTTTCTTTGAAAGTTTAAATATTTCTCTGTCATTTGCATAAAAATGTCTGCTTTAAAAATAGCGTTTTCTGTTACATTTTTTTCCGCCAACCTTCATAAAAACACTGGGCAGTTTAGGGCGGTAGTTTCAGACAATGGATTGGCACCAAGAAGGTTAATAAGTAGACTTGCAAATTGCCAAGTGCAGGCATATGATAGCCAAGACAGAAATGAAAATCTTCTGTTCACTTTCATTGTTCTAAAACTTACATAATGGGGAAGACTAAAATGCTACATACCAGCTGCACCCTCTCCAGCAGAATGAACTGTATGGCTCAGAGGGGTACCCTCCCTGGAGCAGCTACTGCGTTTCCCCAGCAATGGACTATTGGGGTTGAACCCCTGACCACTGGGATTAAAATTAGGAGAAGCTCCTCTGTTACCTGTAATCCCTTGACTGGGATTGGAATTTGGTAACTGCAACAAAAAATAAAATTGTACTGGCACTTCATTTCAAAAACATATCACTCATGTAGATAAGCTAAAGTAAAATTAATTAGTACTGATTGCTGCAGACCAACGAAGATACATAATGATAATTTCACCCGTTCCTTTAGTGCGGCCGTGAAACGTCTCTCACTGTGACAAACCCCTCACAAGTATATTCGAAGCCATTACGGCTTGAGTAAGTGCAGAATGGAAGATATAACACAACGAGAAACTTCGAGATTTATTCAGGTCACCGGGTAGTTTAGAAATGTCACATTAATTCTAACTAATAAATTCTTGGAAATTTATTCTGCAAGAACGGAAAGCTCCCTGAAGGCGAATACTGCAATGGATACGCTTAAAAGTGTTACTTGAAAGTTATTCGGCGGGTCGAAAAATTTGTTTTTAATGATATCTAAGATTCGTTATAGCGTTTCCAAAATCCACATCTGGATAGTTTTTTTTTCAGCCAGATAAGTCTAGCTCGCATTTTAACAAACTGTTCTTCCATGATACAGCGAGAGCCCAATATTATTCTTTCACTGTCTCATTCCTTCTTATTTCACAGTGCCAACCACAACTACATGTGTCTGGACAACTTACGAGGCGCGTCCACAAAGTAAGTTTCCCACTCGTCTCACAGCTAGCAAACCTTATATTGCGCGAAGTGACTGTGCGTACGTGATAGAGCAATGACGTAGCATGGCGCATGCACTAACGGTACTTCCCGCGTTCTCACAGTAGCATCGTTGCAGCTGTTGAAGATGGCGGTTCTTATTCCAGCTCCCGCCGACTGTGAAGTGCGGTCAGTGATAACGCTCGGCCGCACACGGCTCGACGGACAGCAAGTCTCCTGCAGGAGTTCAGCTGGGAGGTGTTTGATCATTCACCCTACAGCCCGGACCTCGTTCCCAGTGATTTCCATCTTTTCCTACCCCTCAAGAAATTCCTGTCCGGTCAGCGTCAGCGTTTTGAGAATGACAGAGAGGCGGAGATGGTTGTCACACAGTGGTTCCAATCCCAGGCGGCAGACTTCTACGACACAGGTATTCCAAAGTTGGTCCCACGGTATGACAAATGTCTCAATTCCGGTGGCGAATATGTTGAAAAATAGCTGGACACTTGCTGTATCTGTTGCAATAAATATTTCCATGAAATTGTGTTTTGTTTCTGTAAACGGCCGGAGGGAAACTTACTTTGTGGACGAGCCTCGTATAATGGCATTCAAACCTCCATGTAAGTGGCACCAGAAGGGCTGAGGAATGAGTAACACATTTTTGTAACTTGCAAATCTTATTAAATTCACACACAAAGAAAATCTACTGTTAGTGTCAAAATATTTGTCATTAGAAAGTATAGTCCATGCATTTAAATAGAATAGTAGCATCATTTACTTACTGCATAATGTTTCAAGGATCAAATATAATACAAACAGCTTCTGCAAGCAAGCAGTGGATTGTAGTGTTCAACCCCTGCTCACTAAAGGGAAGTGAATTATGTCTGGCTCTATTAAATTACATCACAATTTTTTATTTACGAGAAATGAGGCAGATTATACAGAAGAAAGGAGAGTAACACTTCAGTGATAAATGTTTGGGTTGAGCGAGTAAACATGCAATAATATTAAACTAGTATCATACAGTCCAGACTTCTCAATAACTATGAATTATGCAGAATGAACCACGTCACTACGCAAAAAATATAACACTGAAGTACAAGTACACTTATAAGACACCGTCTGGGGCTTAAATGTAAATTTCAGCATGCATTATGATTTTCTAAAGGTCTATGACAATGGTTGATTGATTGTACAAATATTATGTTGGACACTTTTCATTACCTGAGGAATATCTGACAAGACTGGAGCACAGAAGATTCCCAAGACATTTGAATATCAAACATATCTCAGACAATAAACAATGTCCAACATAAATAATCATTGAATGTGTGCTTTATGTGCAACTAACTACAGTGCATGTTCCTTACTAGCTGGAAAATGCTTGTTTGTTCCAAGCTTACTAAAATTTTCAATTATGATAATGTTTAAAAAACTACAAAGCACGACACATAAACTCTCTCTTCACACTCACCGGTACAAGCAGCCTACTACTAGGATTAGTATCACTACCAGCAGTAGAAGGCGGGGGATGCTCAGGTGGTGGGGGTAGAAACTCGGCCCAATTAGGCAGTGTGGTCTGGCCCTGAGCCTGTT